GAGGATTCACATTACCTGACTTTAATTATACTACAGAGCTGTAATATCCAAAACAGCATGGTACTGGTATAAAAACATACATATAGACCAGAATGAAACAGAAGAGAGAACAAAGAAACAAAAATCCACACACCTATAGTAAACATATTGTTGACAAAGGTATCAAGAACATGCACTGGAGAATAGACAGTCTCTTCAATAAATGTTACTGGGAAAAGTGGATATCCATATGCGAAAGAATTAAACTAGACTCCTATCTCTCACCAAATGCAAAAATCAAATAAAAATGGATTAAAGACTTAAATCTAAGACCTCAAACTATTAAATTACTACTAATATCACACCAGCAAAGACAACCAAAGCAAAAATGGACAAAAGGGGTCACATCAAGTTAAAAACCTTCTGCATAGTAATGAAAACAATCGACAAAGTGAGAAGACAAACCACAGGACGGGAGGAAATGTTTGAAAACTACCTATTTGACCCCATTTGACAAAGAACTAATAGCCAAAATATACAAAGGGCTCAAACAACTCAATAGAAAAACAATTAATAATCTTCTTTTAAAAATGGGCAGAAGATATGAATACATATTTCTCAAAACACAAATGGCAAACAGGCATGTGAAAAGGTACCCCACATAATTGATCATCAGAGACATGCAAATCAAAATTGCAATGAGATAACCTCTCAACCCAGCTAAAATGGCTGATAGCTAAAAGTCAGGCAATAACAAATGGTGGTGAGATGTGAAGAAAGGGGAACCTATGTACACTTTTTGTGGAAATACAAATTAGTGTAACCACTATGGAGAACAGTTTGGAGGTTCCTCAAAAAACTAAAAATTGAGCTACCATGTGATCCAGCAATCCCACTGCTAGGTATATACCCAAAAGAAAGGAAATGAGTATATTGAAGAGATATCTATACCCCCATGTTTGTTGAAGCACTGTTCACAATCACCATCATTTGGAGACAATCTAAGTGTCCATCAGCAAATGAATGGATAAAGAAAATGTGGTATTTATACACAATAAAGTACCATTCATTCATAAAAAAGAACGAGATCCTGTCATATGCAACAACACAGATGGAACTGGAGATCATTATGCTAAGTGAAATCAGCCAGTCCAAAAGACAAACATCACGTATTTTCACGTATTCTCATGTGGGATCTAAAAGTCAAAACAATTGAACACATGAGCCTAGAGTAGAAAGATGGTTACCAGGAGCTAGGCAGGGGAGTGGGGACTTGGGGGAGAGGTGGGGATGGTTAATGGGTACAAAAATAGTTAGAAAGAAGAGTGACTATAGTGAATGACTATTTAATTGTATATTTTAAAATAAACTAAAAGGGTTTAACTGAATTGTTTGTAATACAAAGAATAAATGCTTGAGGGGATGGATACCCCATTCTCCATGAGGTGCTTATTTCACATTGCCTTCCTGTATTTTTTATTTTTTAAATTAAAAAAATTTTTTTAAGATGGAGTTTTGCTCTTGTTTCCCCGGCTGGAGTCAATGGCGTGATCTTGGTTTCACTGCAACCTCCACCTCCTGGGTTCAAGCGTTTCTCCTGCCTCAGCCTCCTGAGTAGCTGGGATTATAGGCACCTGCCATTATACCTGGCTAATTTTTTTTTGTATTTTTAGTAGAGACAGGGTTCACAATGATGGGCAGGCTGGTCTCAAATGCCTGACCTCAGGTGATCCACCTGCCTCGTCCTCCCAAAGTGCTGGAATCACAGGTGTGAGCCACCTTACCTGGCAGCATACCTGTATCAAAGCATCTCATGTACTCCACAAATATATACACCTACTATATACTCATAAAAATAAAAATTAAAAAATTTAAAAAAAGAGACAATAATGAGGCTTTATTAGTTGGACAAAAGAACATTCCAGGAAAAATCTGGTATGTGAAATATAATGAGTATAAAGCAGCAAAGTGTATTAGGGAAAGAATGAGCATTTTGTTATGTCTCTGACTGGTATAAATTGGGGTGAGGTGGGGTGGGGTGGTGAGGCAGGAGATCAGAATGGCCAGTTACAGCTACGCTGGATATTATTTTGTGTTGGTAGGGAGACAATGAGGAATTTTTAACTGGGGAGAGATATTATTAGACATTAGTTTTCCAAATGATGAGAAAGTCTTTCAGAAAAAATTGTGAAAGACTTTGAAACAGACCAAAAACTTTACTAGGTGTCTTCAATCAAAATGTGTGTTGTCTAGAGCACAGAGCTCACCTTTCTGAGTTTTGATTCTATGGGGTTTGCGTTTTTCATTGTCTTTGAGCTATTTAAAATTCTATAAATTGCAGATCATGTCAATGCAAATGACTCTTGTCCATAGATGTGCAAATGAATTGTCTGGAGAATGGAAAATTAATTTTCCTTCCAACTGTGGAAGAAGCCAAGTTTGAATATATTGGTAAATTCGTCTCAGCATCCCTTATTAACCTATGTAAGTGTGGTACTTCAACTTCTCCTTTAAACTAATTGTAACATCTTACTGGCTCGCTCATTAATTAATTAAATAAAATCTATGACATGTGTTAGAGTTGTATGAAAGTTATCGTGTTACCTTAAAATTATTTTTAACTTGTCTGTCCTAAGTGAAGAGATAATGTGCTTTGTATAAAGGCAGTGATAGCACATGCAGATGGAGGAAAGGCAATTTACTAGAGAGTGCTTCATACTGATTTTGTACTGACAAAACCTAGTGTAATGGCTTTGTGTTGACAAGACCTAGTGCTGAAGAGATATGAGAAGTAGTGAATTATGAGGACTCAAAAATGATTCACCGATTTCTGGCATGAGTGATTACATAGATAATTTCTTTTATCAAGATATGACCCACAGGAAAAGAGATATCAAGGTAGAAATTACAGTGGATTACTAGATATTTGGTTGTGGAGTTCAGAAGTATCAGTTGCTAGAGGTGCTGATTTGGGAGTCATACACTTATACATGTAAATTTATGAGACTGACTTTAAACATTAAGGAAGAATCGTAAGGTACAAAGACAAATGGGCACAAACATTTTAGGAATGAGCAGAGTCCAAAGATCTAGTCAAACGATGGAGAATAAATCTATTTTAGGATGATGTTACAGAAATCAAGAAAGGACAATGTTTTTAGAAGGAAAGACTAGTTAACAGAGTCAAATGTCAATTGGGTTTGGCAATGTGGAAATCAGTGGTGGCCATTGCCTATCAAGTTTAAGTGTCATGGTGTGTGTGTGTGTGTGTGTGTGTGTGTGTGTGTGTGTGTGTGTGTGTGTTTAGAAGGATAAAAACAAAAACCGTGTTGGGAATTTGAAAATCTGATAGAAGGTAAGGAAAGCTGTGGGAAAGAAGGTATGAATGGGTGAAAAATCAAGGGAATTTTTAAGATTGAACATAGCACAAGGGGAAGGAGTCATCTGAAGACAAGGAAGAGAGAGAAGAAACTAAATTTAAAAAGCTCCATGTTAGATCAAAATATATCGGACTTGGAGTCCAAATGGAAACAATAACTTTCAGATGAGATCAAGCACATTCAGGGTGGTGTGGCCGTAGACGAAACAACAATTTTCAAAATGAGGAAGAAGATGTTTTACCCTGAGGTTCAAGGTAAAGTGGAATAGCTGGGAGAAGCACAGGTAGCTTTTAAGGTTGCAGAGCAGGAAGGTGAAATATGTTACTTGATAACTCTTAATATCATGTACTCATAGTGAAGGAGTGAAATTAAGGAGGAAAGGCAAAAGTATGCTTAATCCCTGAGTTGAATAAGAGTGGAAGAGCTGATAAAAGATAAATTCTTCATGGTAAAATTAATCTGGCATAAGTAGCTTTTCTCCTGGTGTGCTGTTCTTTGCAATGTTTTGTTTGCAGGTATGGAACACCTGGTTCATGGATGCTTGCTAAGAGATATGCCTTCTCTGAAATATCTTTTTCACCTTCCTGTACTCTTCACCATTACATTTTTTATTTCATTAGAAAACTAGGGTTGTGGGGTGGGGGACTAGGGGAGGGATTTCAAGGGTGGGGAGATTGGAGAGGGGTAACATTAGGAGAAATACGTAATGTAGGTGACAGGGGCACTGGAGGCATCAGACCACCATGGCATGTGTATACCTATGTAACAATCCTGCAAAATCTGCACATGTACCCCAGAATTTAAAGTATAATTAAAAAAAAATAACACAATACTTGTCCACAGGTATGTGAGTACCTTATAATAACAAGTTTCCCAATTCTTCCTTCTTTTCTTGTATTATTGCTGTCATTCATTTCTTTTATACATAATATATATACATATATTTTATATAATTGAATGCTATTGTGGCTGTTATCATGATGGGCAGTTATTTGTTAGATCAATTAAGAATAATAAAAATAAAATTTTTGTTCTACCTTCAAAAAAGAAAAATAAAAAAAGAAAACTATGAGTGAAAGGATTAGTTTCCTCAAACCTCAGTTAGATGTATATACCTGGTAATGGTCCTTCTAAAAATGTAGAACATCATTTTAGATCCATTACTGAAACACTAAGTCATGAGATGATGTAATATACAACAGATAATTTCCAGTGGAGTCAAACTGTAACAATCACCATCGTGGATGGGTGAGAACAAACATAACATGTGGGTTAGGAAGGGCAGATCTTTATACTAAGAATGGAAGATATTCAAAAGGAAGGAGAAAGCGTGAAGATGAACTTGATCTCATAGTTTTGCTTAAACAGTCCAGAATATGGATAATCATGGTTATTTACCTCTAGCAGTGTAGTATTGACAGGTAATGACTTAGTCATTTTAGAATGATTCTTTCCTATGTGATGTTCTCCCTCACTGCTCTAAGTGCTTTATATATGTTAAATTGTTTAATCCTTACAACCATCCCTAAATTAGATTATTATTCATGTTTTAAAAATGCAGAAATGAAGTCACTGAGTTCAAAGAAAAGACTTGTAATTCACATAGGTGGCATATAGTGAAGCTTTGAATCCAAACCTTACCTCATCTTGCCAACTGCCTGCTTGTACAGCAGTAACTTGTTGCACTCCTTGGGTACTATTCAGTGCCTATTACAAGGAATCTCACTACAAGTCAGGCTGTCTTTTATTTCACTTGCCTTCTCCATGTGCTGTGATTCTTAAACTTAACTGCACTTAAGAATCAAGGAAACTTATAAAGAAATCAGATTCCAGAGTTCCAACCCCAGAAATTCTAATTCTAGAATTCTGAGCATGTCCCATGAATTTTCACACTAAGGAGACTTCCTAGGTAACTCTTAAACAAGTGGTCTGTAGACCACAATTTAAGAATTATCTTAAAAGGTTGGACTAGATTTTGTTTCTGGTCCTTTCCTGTGTATCTTGCTGTAAACAATTGGAACCTGGTGGGTTAAATTCCACAGTTAGTGTTGCATAAGTATGTGTAAGTATGCTTTATGGCTGAAAATGAAATGTGGAGTAATTTTCATGGATTAGTAATATCTTTAAAAAGCACTCCTATTTCTATTAGACACTTTTATTACATCAATATGTTGTCTGAACGTGGCTCTTTGTAGGGAAATATTAAAAATTTTATATAAAATAGACAGTTCTGCCAGAATTGTGGCATTATACCTTACTCAACAGTTAGCTAATGAGTTTGGAAACTCATTAAAAGAAGCATTACGAACTTACTCTTCTTTTTCTTCACTGTTGACATCAGGGCATGCCCTTAAAACTATAACTGTATTTATACCACATATGGAAACATATATACATTTCATAGATATGAATATATAGGAGCAATCCATTTCTGCTGTGTTGCTTTTTACATTTTGTTTTCAGTTTTCTAACAAAGGTCATCTTTCTATTCAGTTCAGGAATCCAATCTCTGTCTAGTGTTGATATAAGGAAACTTTAGAGTATTTTTAAATATCAGTTATAATCTCTGAATGGAACTCTTGGGTGGTTAATTTCATGTTTCTGAATTTTGGTGGTGGTAGAGGTTTTAAGTGCCAGGCGTGCAGGGATTTGATTCCTGTGTAGAAGGATAAAGCAGGAATCAGATAAGATAGATGCTGGGAAAATTAATTGGCTTTTATAAGTCATTTGTCACAAGGGATAGGGCAGTTCAATGCACAGTGCATAATGTCTGTGGCAAGACCAGGTGTGTATTAGGTTATCTATGCTAACACTTTCATAGCTACTTGAAATCAGGCTGGTACTAGCCAAGCAACAAAAATGTTCAGATGGTTGAAATAAGGTAGGTAATGACATTTTTGATTTAGGTGATCTGTCCATTCAAGGCAAAATGCCACCCAGTGGTAGCCTGATAGGAGAGCCAAGGGCTTGATGGTAAAAATAATGATCAAGAAAAAGTTTGTAGACTATACATACCATGAGAGAACCTAGGGACTCGTTTGCAATATAATTCCAGGTATACAAGTGAAATATTTAGCTTGGTAATAATTGGTGCAGGAATTGGGGTCAACGGTTCTGGACTCTTAGAAGAGGTTCATTGGCAAATATCTATGAGAATCTGGGAAACATTTCACTGGATAGCCTTTGTTCCTTTTTTTAGAAACATCATGACACTCCTACAAATACCTCTCCTAAGTTCTAAAGAGACAAGCAAAAGTATAGAGCATAAACCATAATGACTGAAAAAAATAAAGACAAGGTGAAAGGAAAATAAGGAAGAATAATAAAATAGACTATGAGAGAGAACTAGAGATACAGGCTATACAATTCTCACGGTGTCTGAAGGTGGGACACCAAATCAATTCTGAGTTTCCTAATGAGCCAAAACCAAGAAAGAAATTAGGAAACATTGCAAGATTCAAATTGTCCCAGTGATAAAATATATCAGGTTGAGGGGAGGTTGTGGCCTTGCAGTCTAAGGGAAGTTTCCCCCATAGTTGTTGCAAGGGAGACAGAATGCAACAGTGAGCAAAATGATTTTCTTACAGCAATTTCTTATAGCAATTAGCATTTTTCCATATAGGATACATCATTAAACAAAAGGACAATTTTAAAAAAGTGATTCTTTTATTGTCTGAGAAGGCCTAGACAATATAGTCTGAATTGATTGATTGGATAAATGGAACAAGATGGGCAGAATTGTACCATACATGCAGGAGGCCATGCTCTAAAAGGGCTTCTGAAGGTGCAGCAACCCTGATAAATTCTGGCAAAATCTTTCAGTTTAGTTATTATATGTTAGTGATGGAGGAAAGGTTTATTAGTCTCAAATATTTGCTGAGTGCAGGATAAGGTTTTCATACTTTTATTAAAATAAAGGAGTTTAACTAAGACTCTGTATTGAAGAGATAGCACCCTATAGTTCCAACCAAAGGCAAATTAAAACATTCCTAAAACTAGACTCATTTTTGCATTGGCTCCAGCACTTGAACAAATTAAAGACTAAATCCTCATAGTTTCTACCCTTAGAGCATCTTTGAAACTATTGTAGTTTGGAAAATTTCCCATGCAGAAATAATTAATTGATCATTAGGCCATAAAAAAATCTTAGTCAGGATATCTAACTGTAATTATAGTGGCTGGCCAGTGATACCATAGCTTAAATTACTCCTCAGTAACTAAAGGACGTTTTCTGTCAATTCATATGACAAATAGCTGTCAAAATTTATGAGTGTCAGCATTCCTTCTGCTATTAGCTCACCAGGCCTTTTGTCTCTTGAGACCAGTGTGGGTCTATTATATCATATCCCTAGCATTGAGGAGAGCCCTTAATTGTTCTCTTAGGTGTGAGGTAGGAATGCACTGCATGTATTAGATAATCTGCAATATGGCAATGGGGGAGTATACCCTATGTGATGATAATGATATTGTACTAGTGACTTTACTGAACATATACTCTATATACTTGGTACTTGCTAAAACACATTATGCGCCTTATATCATTTAATTTTTGACATTTAGTTACTTTTCAGTATAATTGTTTTTAGTTTGTAGCTATGAAAAGGAGTTTAGGGTTTAAAAATCTTATTTACATTTGCACAGCTACAAGGTAGAATGTGGTGCGCCCAGGTGGAAATAGGAGTCTGTATTGTTTTCTATTTGGAAAGAACAATATTTGGCTTTGCATCCTTGCATTTCACCTTCTGACCTACAGGTTATAGATCTCAGAACAGAGTTCAAATTAAGGGACTTTTACTATTCTGCCTAGAAGGAATGTGTTGCCACACGAAAGGCTTAGGGGTGGTCCCTGGATGGGAGACACCCCCCAGATTTCTTGGAAAATAACTATCAAATATTATTATATCCAGCAGAGTAGAGTCAGCTTCGCAAAAAATATTTTCCATGTCATTTAGAATCCTTGATGATTAGTGTATTATTTAGAGATTATAAATAATTTTATAGAACAAGAATTATATTTTATCATTTAAATTAAAATTTTATTTTAATTGTTTTTTTAAATTTTAATTGTTAAAAATATTTGAATTTCTTACTGTGTCTTCAAAGTACTGTTAATTATATCTGACTCTTTTGATGCTGGGGTCTTTGTCAGGTTCATTATTGGTACGCTAGTCTTTCAGTGAGCAATTTTGATTCTCTTTTGAAAATCTTATTCACAAAATAATTTCCATAAAGATATTATGATAAATAAGCAGGAATTACTTGTACATTTTATCTTCATAGTGTGAACGTTGGTATAGTGCAAAATGCTCTGATCTCAAGAAATGCTCTTCATGCACACAAAAATTTAAGGATGAAAAATGTTTGTCTGTATATGCTGTTAAAAATTATTCTCTGTTATTAGTTTCATGCTGTAGAAACAAACCCTGAAGGGTACTGATAAACTGCCTTAAGGCAATTATGCTTTTAGACCATATATCCTAATGCATTTCTAACATGAAATCCTATATTCTTTTTGTTTTATAAGGAAACTGTCCTGGTGTCTGCGAGCTAAGAGTTTAAAAGAACTATATGAAAGGGTTAATCAGGTGAGGGCTTTTGGAAGAGCTAACTTTTATATTAGATTTGTAAGTAATTAATAAAATAGAACATTCCACAAGATACAAAAAATATAGGAAAATGGAGACAGGAATTTAAAACACCAGGATGTTAAGGAGGAGGAACACTGGGTAAATGATACATAAGAAATGAAGAAAGATGAAGGAGGAAGTGAGTAAGAATGCAAGGTCTTGAAGTGAGTAAAAATACAAGGACTGAGACATTTAAATTAGATTCATGGGTGATGTAAAATTATATATTTACAGATTTTTTTTGCATCAGATGTGGGAAAAACAATGAAAGACTAATTTCATAATTTTGTGTGAGCTATGAATAAGAGGAGCAGAATTTGTTTGGTAAATTTCATATTAAACTCCCTCTATTTGGTACTAATATACAGTGATAAATAAGAGAGAATTCTGTCTTTGACTCAATTTGGTCATAGTCTTAGGAAGGAGTCTGGAATACATGTACTACAAAAATAGGTGCTACAAAACAAAAATAGATTAAAAATGCTTCTGATTGAGGAAGTAAAGACTATTTAATGTAGGTGACTTTTAATCTGGATCTTCAAAGGTTGGTGTCATTCCAATAAGCACAAGAGGAAAGCTATTCCAGGTGGAAAGGCCAGGGCTTCCCAAGGGTAGAGACAGGACCGTTGGTCAGGAAATGAAGGAATATGCCAAGTACTGAGCAGTGTTTTAAGCCCCTTGTAAAATCACTGTCTCTTTAAATTTACATGTAGATCAGCTCTGAGTAAATAAGAAGACCTGATTAAATGTATCAATGATTTTTTCCTACTTGTTTCTTATGTGAGAATTATGATGTGATTGAATAGAATCACAATTCTATTCATAACTGATAGAACTGTGGGGTAGAGTGCCAAAAGGCCGGGGGGGCTGGCATCATAATATCTTCCACATATAGGCAATCAGAAATGTATTCAGTGCCTTCACAGACATCTTCTAATTCCACATTCTCAAAACTTTATAAATTAGTGAGAGAAAATATTCTATTCCTTCATGACAATTTAGATTTACAAACAATTGCCAAGTTTACTTAATTGATAAGTGGTGGAAAGGGATTTGTACCTTCTGATGTCAAGTTTAGTCTGACACACATGCAAAAAGACAGAGATGTAACCATTGTAACAGATTAATACTGTGAGAGGAGAATCAACAAAGAAAGCAGGAAAGAATTTAC